GCCAAGGTTTTAAGGTATGTAGAAGGTTCAAAGGCTGTTCTTGAGAAAGCAGATAGAGCTAAGCTACAACCTATAGCTTTAAGCTGTGTGCTGAATATTGGAGCTTGTAAACTAAAGATGTCCAATTGGCAGGGAGCAGTGAATAGCTGCTTGGAGGCTCTTGAACTAGATCCAGCAAATACTAAGGCACTGTACGGCAGAGCTCAAGGGTGGCAAGGATTAAAAGAATACGATCAAGCACTGGCTGATCTCAAGAAAGCTCAGGAGATAGCACCTGAAGATAAAGCTATCCAGGCCAAATTGCTGAAAGTCAAGCAAAAGATAAAGGCACAGAAAGACAAGGAGAAGGCAGCTTATGCAAAAATGTTCGCTTAATAAAAAATTGAATTTTGCTTAAATAGTATGCATTGGCTGTATAAAAGCAGTAAGATTTAAGGGTGTTTGACTAATGTGTCCATAACATGTTTATTTTTATGCTTTAGTTTCCCATTGTTTATGTTTTAGGAATACTTATTAAGGCCTCTTAATAAAAATTGTCACAAAGTCAAAAAAAAAATTTACAGTCCCACTTTGGGTCTCTACTTAAATCTTACCTCAGCACAAGAATGGTTTGTTCTAATAATGTGGCTTTGTATAATACTCACCTTCCAGACGGGATCGCTGAAGACAAAAATGGGTGCATGAGCAAATGTGGTGAAGAAATGTGATGGTGCCCAGCTACTAAAAAATATAGCAACTGGTGTCTTAAAGGCTTGTAATTAAACAAGTGGCCATCTAGCAGAGAAACAACAAAGCCCAGATGGAAGGCTGTGTGTACATAATATGTCGAAAGGAAAAGATGTGAAAAGTTCAAAAACAAGCAACCAAACCGATGTGAAGGAAAGGGTGTGGATGTAGTGGAGACCCAAACCCCACCTTTAAGGTCATTGGACAGTCCCTCTTAGAAGGGCCACCTGAAACGGATGAGAAATCCAGGGTGCAGTATGGCACTGATAAACCACATAACTATCCTCTAGTTCCTTAATACTTCCTCCCCTTACTATGGGGGCGGGGGGCCGGAATAGGGAATCAAACAACAGGATTATATGTGAATGGATATATTGGATGTATAAGAATGGTGTGTGTGTGTGTGTGTGTGTGTGTGTGTGTGTGTGTTCTCCTGGGGAGTAGGCTAGGGGAGAGGGGGGTTAAAGGAGAGGGAGCTGATATCAAGGAGTTCAAGAAGACAGAAAATGTTTTAAAACTGACTGTGGTAGCAATTGTACAACACTGCTTGATGTGATTGAAATAGAGAATGTTATGATATTTGTAAGAGCTCCCAATGAAATGATTCAAAAACCATTTACAATCGCAGAAACCCACAGGAGCAGTTCTACCTTGTCCTGCACAGGTCACTATAAATTGGAATCAGCTTGATGGCTGTGAGTTCTCAGTAATTTCATGCTTCATCTGGTCTCTATGAGTCAGAATCTATTCCAGGGTCATGAACTACGTTTAGGAGTTAAAACACACCACTTTCCCCCCCTAAATGCCTTTAAGTAAATGCTTTAAAAATGAAAATCAGTAGATAACACAGCTCCAAAGTCCAGTTATTCATCAGCAAACAAAAAACTACTCTTTGTTTTGTTCATAAATTCAGGGCAGGGGGAGAGGGGCAATTACTATTTCTACACGGCAAAGTTTTCCACAGAATATGTCTGACGGCACTTTTGGCGTCACACGGAACACCCCTGAGAGACAGACTGTTGCTCTGGGCAGCGAGGAGCCATTTGTGAGTTTCAGGCAGGAGAGTGATGTGAATAGATTTGCATTTTTTAGAGTCTGGCAGCTGGGGCACAGGGGTGAGAAGAGACTGCATTTGGAGGGCAGTAAGAGGTCCATCCCTTGCTGTTGTAAGATGCTGGAAGCTGTGTCACCCTGGGGGCAGGGGAAGGGGGAGGGCACTCTGCCCTTGGGGAAAATGATTAACATTACTTACACAGGCTCCCAATGGAAAAATCTGCCCAGTATTATGTTGCTCATCATGCATGCTTGCACGTGTTCTTTTTCACTCCTCTGCTTTGAGGAGGCAGCTCTTCTCAGCTGAATTTGGAGGACCAGCCAGCTCCGGGAGCTCACCTCTGGCAACTGTACCGGAAGATGTTCTGCTGTGGTTCATAGCGTTTACAGCAGCTACGTCCTCGGACGTGGACAGCCTCTTCCTTCTTCCCAGCTTGTACTTAGTCTGAAAGCCCAGCTGGTGACACAGCTCCCAGCATTGCAGCAACAGCAAGGGATGGACCCCTTACTTCCCTCCAAATCCAGTCTCTTCTCACCCCTGTGCCCCAGCTGCCAGACTCTCTGGACTCCATGTGTCACAAAGGCAAATCTATTCACATCACTCTCCTGCCTGAAACTCACAAATCGCTCCTCTCTGGCCAGAGCAATAGTCTGTCTCTCAGGGGTGTTCCGTGTGACGCCAAAGGTGCCCTAAGACATATTCTGTGGAAAACTTTGCCATATAGAAATAATAATTCCTCCCTCTCCCGCTGACCTGAATTTATGAACAAAGAAAATAGTAGAATTTGTTTGCTGATGAATATTTGGACTTTGGAGCTGTGTTATCTGCTGGTTTTCATTTCAAAACGTTGAAGACAAACAGTGGTGTGTTTAAACTCAAAAATGGTGTGTTTAAACTCAAAAACGTAGCCTGGAGTAGATTCTGACTCATAGAGACCTTATAAGACAGTATAACTGCCCCTATGGGTTTCCTAAGCTGGAAATTCAATTGTAGAAAGAGGAAATTATCTTTATAGGGGGAGAGAGCCTCATCTTTGAATTGACCATGAATTATTTATTGAAGAGATATCAATGTTCTTATGTATTGTTTTTAAAACAATTTAAAATACTTGGTAAAAGATGCTGTGTGTGTTAGTCCAGGTAGACTAGAGAAACAAATCCAAGGAGATTCATATATGTGTAAGAGAGAACTTTATATCAATGAGTAATTGTACATTGAGAAAACATGCCAGCCCAGTCCAGATCAAGTCTATAAGTCCGATATTAGCCCATATGTCCTATACCAGTCTATAAATTCCTCTTCAGACTCACGCAACACATGCAATGACACCAAGTGCAGGAAGATCACAGACCAGTGAGTGGAAAGTCTTGTGGATTCAGTGGTGATAGAAGCATCTTAGCACTGGCATGGGTCTCCACGTGGCTCCTCCAGCTCCAAGGCTCTGGCTGCCATCAGCATAGCTCCATGTGGCATGTCAACGGGAAAGTCTCACAGGGAGATGAAGCAGAGAGAGTGTGTCCCGCCTCCCAGGAGGAAGACCGGAGTTCCCAGAATCCTCAGGAGAAGACCATGCACACACAGAAGCCTCATTGGCTATAGCCTGATTGATAGGCTAGACTCCACCCCTTCACAAGTTGACAGATTATGTAACTACCAAAAACTCACAGCCATCAAGCTAATTCCAACTCACAGTGACCTATGTAAGACAAGGTAGAACTGCTCCTGTGGGTTCCTGAGACTGCAAATCTTTAGGGGAGTAAAAACCTCATCTTTCTCCCACAAGGTCAGTGATTTTGAACCACTGATCTTGCAGTTAACAGTCAAATGCATAACACACTCTGCAGCCAGGGCTCCATGAACATGAAGTTCAAACTCACTGCCATCAAGGGTCCATATGAGCATGAAATTAGGTAGGCCAAATTCTTAGACATAATGTTGAAATAAGAAATCTTAGATGCGGAAAAATATTAACAAAATTACATTTGAACAAGATTATTTTTATTCCATTTCAATTAATTGGAGTTTTGAATCTATCACCAGTGCCTCAGAAAACCTGGAAATCTGCTTCCAGAAACCAATCAGTAAAAACCCCATGGTACACACTTCTTCTCTGACACAAAAGGAAATTGCATCATCTTGTTTTTAATAAAGATATTTATATTAAATCAAATTTTAGCACAAGCTGTTTCAGCTTGAACGTGAAAATTGTGCTGCATACCACTTGGCAAGTTGACCACAGCCTCCTCCTTTTGATTTCCAGTCTATCGTGCACAAGGATTGGTTATAAAATGGGTGGTTGTATAAAATGGTGAGAAAATCCTCTCAGATATTTTAAAGACTGGTTTAATAAAGCATGTGATCTCAATGAGAAGATTTTAACACATGCCATGCAGCATGAAACAGATAATTACTTAGTGTTTAATTTTAACGATACTGATTTGTAAAGTTAAAGATAGATTAAAAAAATACATAGCAAGACTCTGGCTGTGTTAGATTAGGTTCTCTAGAGAAGCAAAGCCAGGAGTCTTATATTATGTATATTTAAAAAGAAGCTTATGTCAGAAAAGGAATTTATAACAAGAGTGTGGCTCAGAAGGCTGTAGAGAGGCTAACCCAGGTCAGCCAACTTCCATGGGCCAGGTACTGGTCTGAAGGCCCTTCCCAAGTCATGCAGTTGCCAGGCCAAAGAGTCAAGGAGCAGGCGGTAGAAGGGCAAGGCTGGGAAGCTGCGACGGTGTGGTTTCGGAGGTAGCTTTGACTGGTGGCAGTGGGACACAGGTAGGGGCAAGTGGCAGGCTATAGAAAACAAGGCAAAGCCAACAGCAATGGGCAATGGATACAGGGTCCACAGCTGCAAAAAGAGAAGGAGAATGTGCCTCACCTGG